GCCCTTGATAGTTTATAAATGGGTATTTTGTCATATCTTGCCCTGTCCGACGTCTCCCTTCATCCACTTTTTGGTTGTCTTTCCCCCAGGGAGGAGGCCACACACAGTTCCATGTAATCGGTTCCCTCTTTCCTACACATTCTATTCTTGCCAAACTGAAGCTCACATAACACACAAGGAAATAAGCTATAGTGAGTAAGAGTAAACAGAAACACCAAGAGAACCCAAACAACTATATGTACAATATAATATAAAATATTGTAAAAGCATAGATATATATTATATATATAATAAATATATCTGAAATTTTTAAAGAAATAAAAGTTGCAAAGAAATTATAAGGAAGAAACAAGATGCTACTAACTATATGAGGTTATTAAGTGCCATCGAGCCAGTTCTAACCCATAGCATCCCGAAAAAAAAAAAAATCAGAATGAAACCCAGACTGATCCTGTGTCATCCTCACAATTGTTCTTATGCTTGAGTCGATTATTGCAGCCACATTTTTTCTTTTTTTTTTTTTAGTACATTTAGTACATTTTTTCAAGGACCTTCCTCTCCTTCTCTGCAACTCCTCCTTACCAAGCATGGCGTCCTTCTCCAGAAACTGGTCTCTCCTGATAACATGTCTTAAGTACGTGAGATGAAGTCTTGCCATCCTTGCCTCAAAGGAATGTTCTAGCTGTACTTTTTCTATGATGGATCTTTTTGGATTTTTTTTGGCAGTTCATGGACTTTTGATATTCTTCACACAAAAAACCCATAATTCAAATGTATCAATTTTTCTTCAGTCTTCCTTATTCAGTGTCCAACTCTAACATGCTTGAAAATACCATGGCTTTGCTCTCTCTCTTCCCCCTCTCATCTCCTGTCCTCTGTTTGCCTTTCCCCTTGTCCTCCTTCCCTTACCCCTCTCTCAACGTGGACCACCAAGTGGGGCTGAGTTATAGGTCAGTTCATCTGGAAGCCAGGGGACACCTTAACGAAGCATCCACTGAAGACACGGGAGTTGGGACCAGTGTGGCATGAAGCCCACTCCCATTGACCACAGGAAATGAGAGCCTTGACATCACCATCGTTAGACACCTACAGTACTGCACTCAACTTGTCCAGCAAATTGTGTTTTCAAACCAAACCCCATTTGTTGCAAGAAATATCCTGGAGAAGCTTTCTTGGCAGATCCAAATGGTAGAGAAACTCTCAGCTGTCAGCGACGAGAACATAGGAAACATCGGGTCTGTCATCGAAGCCATACCAGAATTCCACAAGAAGCTATCTTTGCTCTCATTCCGGACCAAGTGCTGCAGCCCCGTCGGGGTCTACCACAGCTTCACAGACAGAATGATTAGGCAGCTGGAGGCCAGTTTCACCAGAGCTGTCAACAAGGAGTATCCAGGACTCACAGACTCAGTGTTCAGGACCCTGGTGTCCCAAACCCTGGACCAGGCTGAGCCTCTCCTTCCCTCCAGCCTCACCCTGGAAGTCATTACCGTTTTCCAGTATCACAGCTACTTTGCCAGCTGTGGTGTCAGCGACCTAGAGAGCTATCTGATTCAGCTGGCCAAGCAAGTTGCCTTGGTTCAGACTCTGCAGTTCCTAAGTGAGGACAAACTGCTGCAGGCCATGGCTGACCTTGCCCCCGCCAAACTCCCAGCCCAGCAGGACCCTGGCTCTGCTATTAACTGAGGATGGCAACGAAGTGCGTGCTGCTGTGACGCTTGCCTTGGCTGCAGCCTCCAAAAATGAGCACTTTGAGAAAAGGCCTTGCTCTACTACTGCGAAACACTGACAAAGGCAACCCCCCAGCTCCAGAAGGCCACTTGCCTGGCCATGAAGAGCCTTCAGGCTACTGAGAGCATTAAGATGCTAGTGATGTTATGTCAGTCTGATACAGAAGAAATCAGAAACGTGGCCTCAGAAACCCTCTTGTCACTCGGAGAAGATGGACGGCTAGCCTATGAATAGCTAGACAAGTTTCCTCAAGCCTGCATGACAGTTGGAAGTCATCTCGGGACTGAAGTTGCCACCGCCTTTTAATCAACCGTTAACTCCGCCTTGGCATCAGGATGGTGCTGGTGTTTAGGGGGAGAGTGTTTAAAATGTGAAGAGTTCTCGTAACATGTGCTAGATGGAATACAAAGTCCAGTTGCACACTACTTCCCTGTTGTTTTTTAACCAATACCATAGGGCTCTGTATAATTCAATAGATTACATCAGAGATTGTTTCTGACAACACACAGAAGAAGAGTCCATCTTAACCAATGTGTATAAAATTTCAAAATAGCCATCTGTGTACTTTGGGGCAGATCTTCCATAGTTATGTGACACTGCGATACATCATAAACCTTGCAGTTTCTCTGTCTTGTTCTCAGGATTAGGTGAGCCCCTTAGTGTCCCCATTTTGCTTCAAACACAAAGCACAAAGCATCTTGCTTCCAATGAAAGTTTGCTTGCAAGGCCTGATAAAATGAACCATTTTAAGAGTTTGCTGTTTTTCATTTCATTATTTTTAAGGAACTTCTTTTCTCTGTCCTGGAATTTCCAAAATCATGCTTTCATTATCATTGAAAAGAAGTACTTTTAACATTGAAAAGATTACATGCATAGTTTTTAAATAATAATTTTATTTAAAGTCTTTAAAAAACAAAACCTCAAAGCTTTGAGCTTTGCTTTGTTTTGGTTTTTTGTTAGAGACTTTTTTCCATGATAATCTTACTTAGGGGTATTTTGCTGCTAAGAAAAATCAAGATGCAAGGTAGTGGATAAAGAAAACCTTGATGTTCTTTTATATGGAAGAGGTTGCAGGAATCCTGATGAGTGGCAATGGAGAGACATGGAGGGGGCCCTGGCCTCTGCAAAAATGTCTGTGACATCAGGAAGGAGTCAGCCTTGAAGATGATACTGACCCTTAGAAATCCACCAATGGCGGGATTTTATTGGCCAAAATGTTTAAACAACAGACTCCATGATTGCTTAAGTAGCAGGATAGGAAGTCCATTAAATAAAGTACAAAACCGTTCAGTCGCTCTTATTAAGTAGCTTTTCTTCCTTTTAAATGTATGCAAGATGGGGTATGCCAAGGGAGAAACAGCATCTGTGTGAGTGTAATTTAAACTGTGGAAGATAACAACAACAACAACAACAACAACAAAACCCTGTGGAATATCAAATGTACTATGACTGTGTTTGTAAAAAGTATCATTTAGTTGTCATTTAAAATATTTACATTTTAACAAAACTTCTGAAAAAAACCTTTTTTGTCATTTCAAAGTGAAAATGGTTTGTCAGCCTTCTTGGCAAATGTAGGTTTCAACTGTGAAGTTTTATTGTATATAATTGTAAATTTATAAATAGCAAATATATGCTTATCATAATTTTAAGAGTACATTGCACAGTCTATATCACTGTTAAATGGTTGAAATAGTTCTTTTTACAAGTGTCACATTACAGACGTTATAGCGGGACTTTTTCTTTGTTTTAAAGAATATTTTGAATATTGCATGATGAATTAACTATATATATTTTGTATTCACTTCTGCATTTTATTTTTTGTTTCAGTGGGGGAGCTTTTAGTTATGTGCCATTTCTATTCATCACTCTTTCAATCATGTAAGTTAAAATAAAAATTATTTTTGAAAAAAAAAAAAGAATACCATGGCTTGGGCTAGGTGCACCTTAGTCCTAAAAGTAATATCCTTGCTTTTCAAGGCTTTAAAAGAGAACTTGTGCAGCATATTTACTAAATGCAATACATTCTTTAATCTCTTCACTGCTACTTTCGTGAGCATTGATTGTAGATGCGAGCAAGAAGAAGTCTTGACAACTGCAATCTTTCCTCCATTTATCATGATGTTACCTATTAGTCCAGTTGAGAGGATGTTAGTTTTCTTTACACTGAGTTAAAATCCATATTGAAGGCTGCAGTCCTTTATCTGCAGCAGTAAGTGCTTCAAGTCCTCCTCACTTTCAGAATGCAAGATTTTGTTTTCTGCATATTGCAGCTTGTTAATATGTCTTCCTTAAATTCTGATACTGTATTCTTCTTCATATAATTCAACATCTCTGATTATTTTCTCAAATAACCCTAAATGCGTAGTCTCAAAATATAGATGAACTCTATAATATCATTTCTGAGGCTGAAGATAAAAATGTAAACATACTCTGTAATTGGATATTTATTGTTCTAACTTCTTAGATGTCATGCTTTTACTGATAAATTTTCCTAGAAATTTGTAGCAGAAATGCTTAATATGTGGAACTGGTACGTGATAGCAATGAGGATTCACCTGATATGAGGATTCTAGAACCAAATGAAACCCACTGTCATCAAATGCTTCTGACTTATAGTGACCCTAAACAGGGTTTCCGGGAATGCAAATCTTTATGGCAGCAGACAGCCTCATTTTCCACCCCAAGGAGTGACTGGTGGGTTTGAAACACTGATATTTGGGACTAGCAACCCTATGTTTAACTTACAGCACCACAAAGGTTCTTAAGTGATTCTCTGGTTCCTGTAGTGGTAAAGCAGTTGGTTAAATTATTAGTCAATGCCACTAGAAACTCTAACCAAGTTCATAGAAAGGCTGGGGTTTCAACTTGGCAACAAAAGTAGAACTTGCTGAGCCACTCCAAAGAACTTCATTGAGGACCAGAGACAAGGTCCAGGATACAGTGTGCCTTCCAGAAAACAGAGTTGGGGGTGGAGGGGGGAAGTGGGGAAAGCAGGCAAATAAGAAATGGCTTTATAAAACGGGGAAGATTATCAGTCATCTGAGATAGCCAAGAGAGAGAGAAGCATGTGTCTTATCACATGGCGGTGGCTACAAAATATGTTTTACTGTGTTTAAGATGCTGTCTAGAAATTGGAGGCTCCTGGCAGTTGAAAGGGCTTACTAGTAAGGAGTCTTAAGAATTAAGCCATTCTTCCAAACTTTACCTCTCCCTTGGGGTAGCGGTAGCGATATTTATCTTGGTCCCGCAGTGCAAACTCTTCGGGGTAGTGTTCCTGGATTTCTTCATAAGTCATCTCCTCACAGACACCCTGAGACAAAAAATAATTTGGGGATAAAATTATTTTTTAATTATTAATAGTTTTATTGACATATAATTCACATCTCATACATTTCAATAGTTAGGTCATATTAAAAAGAGTTGTACGATATCACTACAATCAGTTCTAGAACATTTTCTTCTTTCTTGTACTCATCATTATTAGCTACCCATTACCTTCTGATCTCTCCTCGCATACTCCCATAAACCATTAATCCCATTACTGTATCTATATACTTTCCTATCTTGTATTTCATATACGGGAAAACATTTTTTAATAGCACCAAAACAAAACTGAAAAAAACCTCATTAGAAAAGAAATCAGGAAATATTAAAAACTGAACAAAATTTAAATGGCTCAAAAGGGAAATCAAATAATAAGGTATTTGATTATAACCTATTTCTTCAACAATCCACTTTCCATTGTACTCTGCATGATAGAAAGGCTATTCACATGCCTGGTCTATGGTCAGGGGGATTCACCAGAGGTTTAACCACATGTATTTCTCTTTCATTAAAAAAAAAAGGAAATATGAAACAACTTTAAAATAGGTCAAAAATAAGATTAAATGATAAGATATTACATTTCGACCTAACTACATCTGCTATAATTTAGTTTAAAATACCCTCTGTCTTAGAGCAAGGTTATTCACATGCCTCAGCTATGGTCAAAGGGGAAACCACCAGAGGCTTAATCCATGTAGGGACCCTGCAAATGAAGTTTGGGTTTCCACTCTCATCCATACACTTCTGAAAGCCAGGTGTTCACAATTTAAGCTCTGATATAATTTTCTCCTTTGGATTTGGGTTTTGTTATTTATAAACATTAGATCACACCGGCTGATATGCCTCTTCCATGTGGACTTAGTTGGTACCTTACTTAGATGGCTGTTTGTTTTAAGACAACCTTTTAATATGCAAGAAGATATTCTTTTTGATGTCTAAACACCATCTGCTTTCTTCACCACACTTTTTTTGTAGAATCCATATCTTCAGTGATATCTTCATGAGGGCCAGCATCAAACAGGGTCATGTCATAAGCACTCATTTTTCTTAGCCTGGGGCTAGAATGAAATGTAAGTCCAAAGTCCATCCACACATCTACGGTTTGCATATGTCTCTGGTGCAATTTAGAGGCTTCATTATCATATTATGATATAGAATATTATCCATCATCCCCTTGGGACATAAGCTCATTCTCTTTATAGTGTAGACAATGTATCCATTGGTATAGAATTTAACACACTGTTGAGAAATGAAAATTCTACAAGTATAGGCCAGCTCCAAACTGTATTACATGAATAGTTCATTTGTATGGATTAAACTATGAAGTGACTGAGTACTGTTTACACTAACAGTGGGGGTTGATGATAGGGCAAAATTTTCAATACATTCATTCACAGAAGTAGAACCATGCCTATCAGATTAATACAAGCAATATTAATAATATTAATAAAGCAAAGGGGCATTAAAATAGTAAATATATGGTGGTTCTTGGCCACCTTTCATTGGTCACCCTCAAAGCAAGGAATCTGAATCAAAGTCCAACGACAGATAATTCCATAGTCTTGGGGTGGTAGTCATCTATTTATTCACACACTGGGGAGATTAAGCCTTAAATCCAAGGGCTATAGGTAAGTTTGAGGTAAATTCTGGGACAAAATTATTTGCACACTTGTATTCATATAACCTTTACCATAGCTCTGATACTAATGATCATTGAACAACAGTATATGAATATCTAGGTCTCTATAAACACAGCTCTGGGTTTGTGCCTATTTTCTGTGAGTGTATATGTACGTGTGTGTATGAAGTCTTTGATTGTGTGCATGTAAGTTTGAAAGTACATGTGTAGGCATGTTCAGTTGGGTATCAGGTATTTTTCCATGAATGTCCCAATGGATCTTTAGGTATATATTTTATGTACATATAAATATTCATTAAGGAGTTTGGACTGTGTATACAGCATATTTATGAAATGTAAATCTGATATATTTAAAGATCTATGCCTTGTGTTTGCAAATGGATTTATCACACCATATGTAGTGTGCTTGTTTGACTCTCTTTGTTGGTAGGATGTCTTAGCATTTAATAATGGTGGTGTCCCAATAGTAGCTATAATTGTCTTTGATTATGGGGTATTGTGGTAGGTACATAAATTTTTTCTTTCTTTCTTTCTTTCTTTTTTAATCATTTTACTGGGGCTCATACAACTCTTTTATGTCAACTTGAAGATATATAAAAGGGTAGGGGTGATATTCAACTTATCAATTAGATCACAGCCTGATGGTGCCTCCTTTTAGGTGTGGTTTTCTCATAAAGTGGGTCTGGGGAAGAATCTTGTCTCCTCAAAGTACTGGGTTGATAGAAATGGGTAGTATAGAAATTGGATATCCAAAATGGGGGTTAGATAAAGGCATGAAGTGACTGGCTTATAACCTTTCATGGGTGGAGAAGGATATTAATAGAATTATAGAATTAAGGTGTAGGTATTCACAAAGCTGCAATTGCTGGGCATAGATATTTTTGTTTTGCTCAGTTATAGAATATTATGTTTAAATAGGGCTGGCACATTTTCAGTTGTACACATTTTAGTTTTATCCTTTATATGCAAATATATTATTATTATTTTTGTTTTGTTTTAAAATTATGTGTGGCTAAAGAAATGTGTAAAGGTGTCAAGTGGACAAGGGTGGTCTGTGGTAGTTACATAATTTTATGTCAACTTAAAGATATATAAAAGTGTTGGTTGGACCTTTCACACCATCCAAGGACTCCTACTGGCCTAAACAGACTTCTGCAACAACAACAACAACAACAACAACAAAAACTATGTGAAGATACATGTGCAATTATAAGCAAACAAGCAGGAAAAGGAAAAACTGATGGTTGTGCTCTTGGTAGGGGATTTTCATCAACTAGATTGTGAGGTTAAAAACAGCAATGGGAGATGCGCCAGGATGGCGACCAGATAGGTTGCTCATGCCCAGAGCTCTGTGGGGATCGGTGAGTGAGGAGATTTGAGGGCCAAGTAGGTGTATCAAGTCGGTCTGTCAATTCCCAAAACAGCTCAGAGAACTTCTCTGAACCACAAGCTGACTTCGACCCCATCACCTGCAGTCCCTTTGGACACCTGTGGTCTCTTTTGCAGAGCTCAGGGCACCCGCTGTGCCTTGACCAGCATCACAGCGCAGCCAGACGTAGGGCAGAGGCTTCCACTCTGCCTTGGTACTCCAGGAAGCCCTGCCAGCCAGCAACCCCCTCCCCCCGAAGGCCCACCCCGTCTGGGCGCTCCTCCCAGACCCGCCATCCAGCCACACCTCCTTCCAAGAGGCTCACGCCCAGGCACCACAGGGCAACTAGGCACATGACAGATTTGCCTGTCCTGATTTGGCACTCTGTGGAGACCCGCCAGCCAGTACCCCCCACCCCAGGTGCCTACCCCATATGGGCACTCCTCACAGAACTGCTAGCCAGCCCTTCCCCCCCAAAAGGCTTGCACCCCGCTGCCACAGGACAGCCAGGCATATGGCAGAGGCCTCTGGCCAGCCTTGGTGGTCTGCACAGAGCTTACAGCCAGACATTCCCCACCCACAAGGTCAACACCCAGAGGTTCCAGCCCCCCACTACGCACACACAGAGGTTCCAATCCTGCTGCAGCACTCCAGTCCTGCCAGGTTTCGACACAAGTCTGGCAGAAGTTTCTGCAGCTGAGGCATAGGGAGCCAAGCCTTTGGAGTTTTCCTGCTGCATTCTCCATTCTCCCTACTCAATCCCACCTCCTGCCCTGTGCTCTGAGCGGTGGATCTGCATGCTAAAAGAAGTAGCAGGCCCTCCCTCCCACCTGCCTACCTGTGGGAAGTCCCGCTAGCCAGGAACAGATAACCCAGTTCCCAACTCATCCCCTAAATATGCTCCCCTGAGTGCGGGCCAACACTTTCCATCAGACCACTGTGTGCACAGCTGCAAACAGCCCCTAAGGAGACCAGAGGTTTGCTGGAGCACAAAGCATAGGCCAAGGAGAGAGGGAAACCTTAGCAGGAAAAAGGTGAAAGACAGCCCCTCAAGTCAGTTGGCTAGAGACAGCCTACAGAAACACCAACATCAACCTCCCAAAGAGAGAGCCCAGGGCTCTGAGATACCCTGGAAAATGGCACTTAGTTCCAATAAATCAACCAAAAAACAGCAGGCTGGTTCCACAGCTTAAACAAGTGAATAGAAACAAAATTCAATGTCAGAGGACCAACTGGACCTAATAGCAGTTATAGAAAAGGCAGAGGTTGACCACCCACAGAAATAAATCTTCAGAATTCTGCTTAGAGTCATACAGGACATGAGGGAAGCATTACAGAAAATGGATGAAATGATATAGGAGATAAAGGCCATGCACCAAAGGGAAATACAAGAGTTAAGGGGAGAGATAACAAAAACTAATAGCAAACTCGCGGACTTCGCCCAGAGAATGGAGGAGGCAGAGAACTGCACCAGTAACCTAGAGGACTGACAAACAGAAATTAATAAATATGAGGAAAAGTTTAACAAGTCCATCAGAAAAGCTGAAGAAAACCTCACAGCTATGTCTGATGCTATGAGAAGGAACAACATCAGAATTATTGGATTACCAGAGGAATGCACATCAAGGAAATCAACATCCAAAATAGTGATGGAATGCTTAGAGGAAAACTTCTCTAGCTTAATGAATGAAAACCAGACAACCATCCAGGAAGCCGAAAGAACACCAGCTAGACTGAATCCCAAAAAGAAGTCACTAAGACATATAGTTGCTAAACTATCCAACTGTGAGGAAAAGAAGTGAACTATGAGGGCAGCTAGGGAAAAACAGGCAATCACATATAAAGGCAAGCAGATAAGAATATGTTCAGACCTATCAGCAGACACTGTGAAGAAGAGGAGACAGTGGAGCAACATTCTGAAAATTGCAGGAAAAAACGCAAACCCAAGAATACTCTATCCAGCCAAATTATCTATCAA